CGGATGGATGGATGGATGGATGGATGGATGGATGGATGGATGGATGGATGGATGGATGGATGGATGGATGGATGGATGGATGGATGGATGGATGGATGGATGGATGGATGTTTAAATTCAGTTTTTGTGTGTTTAAAAACAAACTCATGATCTGTTTATTTTTCATTAATATTAGTAATATTCAGTGTTCGACAATGAAAGTTGATCAGACATTTTCTAACGGACATGGAAGAATCAGGATGTCAGTGAGAGAGACTTTTATTTTGACAGAACTTCCTGTCATCACTGTCCTTACACTGAACATGTTTTAATAATTAAGACTGTCATGCTATTAATACTCACAGGGGTGTCAAACCCACTTACAAAAGGGACAAAAATCAAAACCTTTTTCAAACTAAGGACCAGTTTCAGAATCGGCATCAACTCCAGCATCTTTTCTTGGTGTCAGGTTCCTCAACAAGAGTTTGATTGGTCTCACTTTTCTCTGTTGTGCTTTCAACATCATAATCAAAGATTACTGAAAACATCAAGAGATAGAAGTATTTTACATTTCACATAACATCTTGGGGGCCAGATGAGATGTCAGGGAGGCCACATTTGGCCCCCGGGCCTTGAGTTTGTATGAAAGACAGTAATCCGTGTATTCTCTGTCCTTCTCGTTGTTGCCAGGCTCTGGTAAACTGTTTGGAGATGTTGGAAGACGATGACCTGGACGTCAGAGTGTGTGGATGCAAAGCATTAGCGTGTCTAAAGGTAAAACATGCAGCTTCTCCTGAGTGTTTTTCTTTTTAGTTTGAGAGGGAGAGAGGGAGACACAAACAAACAAACAAACAAACAAAGGAGTCTTCTAGATGATGCACATTGCACTTTCTCACCCTCAGAGAGGCTGCAGACCACGGGAGCTGTTTGTCTTTACCACTTTACCAGTTTTATATTTGATAAAACTTCATGCTGATGCTTTTCTTGTTGAGTGTGTCTGGTCTTTATTAACCCGTTCTACCACTGGTAATAGAAATTAAACTGAGATCACACAGAGAGACCATGAAGACTTTCAGAGAAAATTAGTCGTTCAGTTTTTTGAACCATTTCAGCTGTTTTGTTTGAACCAGCTTCAGAAGCTGTTTGGGTGTCATTTATATAATCACGGCATGTTTCCTGCTGTTTGTCGCTCCAGGCCAAAGAAAGCATCGAGCAGCTGGTTTATGTTTGTCAGACGGATAAGGAGGAAGTTCGAGACGCTGCCAAACGAGCTCTGCTGGAGTTGGGTAATGTTCCGCTCATGCTGCTCACTCAGGCTTCACACGTCGCTGAATGGTCCACAGTTAAACTAACACACTCCTGAGCTGTTTCTTATTTCTACCCATTTATTTGACAGACTTGTGTTCTCCTTTCTCAGCTGTTTTTCAGAAGTTGTTGCTCTGAAATTTAAAATTCTTAGTTTTTTTAATGGTTATTTCTAGTTAATTTGTTATTTAACCCTTGATTCGTCCTTTAACTTTATGCCCATTCATGCTCCCTAAGGAAAAAAAAAATCACCTTATTTAACTTCTTTAAAAATACTATTTAAAAATATTTTTCCCCATAAAAAAATATAATTTTTTAATTATCTCAGCCTGACATAATCCCACCGGACCTTTCAGAATCGGTAGATGAAAACGAGGCTTTGTTTTCAGTCGTCTTCGAACATCGAGGGGTTTTTTCATTGTTTTCTTTATATCATTTTTTTAACCACTGCCAATGATAGAATTGCTAGATTTTTTTTTGTTTTTTTGCTTTTTTCTCCTGAACTGACCCGTAAATACAAGCGAGCTACAAGTGCACACGACACCCGGTAACTACTTCCTGCCTTTGGACAAACCGACGGCAGTCGGTCGCTGTCAGCCGCGGAGCGCTTGATTCTGCAGCCTGCATCAGACTTTTAGTACTAAATATTCACCTGTGCACACAAGTGACTTGTTGCTTTACTTTCAAACTAAAACGATTTTATCGGACGGGATGAGAGGCGAGACTCCACAGCGACTCTGGCTGAGGAAGACGTAACTCTTCCAGGTAATCTAAGGTTGAACTGGACACAAAGGCCTCCGCCCTTATTTAATGATGGACGGGTTCTTTTCACAAAGATGGCCTCCTTTACTCCTCTTGAACGGTCCTCTCTATGAAGGATGTGAACATCATCTTTGAGAGAGCGACCGCTGGCCTGCAGGTCAGAGTAAATCAGGTGTCAAGGCATGAAGACGTTCACATTCTTGATAGAGAGGAGTGAAGGAAGCCATCTTTGTGAAGAGCAACCATCCATCGTTAAACGGGGGCGGAGCCTTCGTAGCAGGTGACCATCAGGGCACTAACGATCAGTCATTAGGCTGATGGTCCTCCTGGATCATGTGAGCAGCTGGTTCTGGATGTCAGCAAGAAATTGGTTGATCCACTATGAGAAGGTGATGTTTATAAGACTGAGTTTGTTGCAGCTCCTCAGACTGAAGAAGTCCTTTGGATAAAAGACGAAACGTTTCAAGAAGAAGAATCATCCAGAGGACCTGACTCCAGCCTGTCAGAAGCAGCCCAGTAGATCTTTTTTTTTCCAGAAGAAGGCGGAGAAACATGTTGTGGGCTTCAGGTCTGTCCCCGGGGCTCAATGGGATTAACCTGTAGAAGTAAAAATTGAATGAATAATATAAAATCAAAAGATCAGTAACAAGATTATGAGAACAGTTGAAAACATTGTGACAAAATTTTTAAAAAGTTGAAAAGTTTTTAGGCTTTTTCAGATTAAACAAATCTTGTTTATTGACTGCACCAAAATAAATAAACACATAAAAGATAAAAATGTGTGGCAATTTTTCCCTAAAGGACGATACAAGGGTTAATTAACTTAATTCTTAGTAAACACTTGTTTACTATTTTCCATTGTGAATAAAATATGGGTTTATGACATATGCCAATCATTGCAGTCTGTTTTATTAATATTTCACACAACATCCCAAGTTTTGGGGGTAATTGAGCTTGTAAATGTTTGTGTTGCTTTAGAAGAAATGCATGTGCTCTTATTTTTGTTGTTTTTGTCTAACAATAATGAGATGACGTTCTGAGCGTATCTCAGTTTAATTTTTTTCTTCTTCGTTTGTTTGTTTGTTTGTTTGTTTGTTTGTTGTTTGGAGCAGGTGAAGAAGGAAAGATGGCCCACAGACATGTGGAGATTTCTCAGGACATCTTACCGAGTCTCTTTGCTCCGGGAAGCATGGCTAGCACAGCCTTCTGACTGAACACACACACACACACACCAATGGTGAACCATGACTATAAGCGCTGGGCCTTCATGAAGGACGTGCCATCCTTCCAAATGCTCACCTTGGAGACACAGTAGAGTTGTCATCTTTATGTTTAGTTCCAAAATGAAGTGACTTGCCAAAGGGGAGGGGCTTCTCCATATTTTATCCATGAGGTCCACCATGTGACTGATGATGTCATTTCTTTATAGCCACCAGCAACAACCTGAACAGAACCAACAGACGACCCACCTGAACACAGAACCTGAAAAAGTCCAACCTTTCTGTCCCAACATTACCCAGAAGGCCCTGCAGCTCACCCAGCCTCTTGCGTTCAAGTACAAAATATAATTTTAATTATTTTGACTGAATTTTAACTTAAATCCACATAACTTACTGTTTGTATAAAATTCCATTTTGTAATGAAACCAGAAAACAACTTTAATATTGAAAATTACTGATGTAACCTGTGTGATATTTAACCTCACATTTTTAGAGCAACTACAACTGAATTCATCACAAATCTTCACATGGTCCAAAAAAACCCACAAAAACAAAAAAAAACTTGCCAGGCCTTCACGAAGTCGTGAGTCCCGTGCTTTGGTCCCACCCACTCTACATCAGTATTCTGATTGGTTAATTTTCCTGTCAGTCATCAAACAAACCCATTCTGGAGAGACTCGGACTGAGCTCGGCCTTCAGTCCTGACAGTGAAGTCCTGACCAATGAGAGCTCCGTCTTTTTCTGCCAGGAGACAAAAAATTTAAATCATCTGATTAGATTAGATCTGATGCATGCTAGTTCATGAATTTTAGAAGATTTCTTGCTCAGCAGTAAAGAGGTTCACTGAAAATAAGAGAAATTAGCAAAAAGAGTTAAAATAGTTGAAAACACACACAATACACAGAAATTAACATTATTTATCAGGAGGAGCTCTTTATTTCGTGAATTCTTCTTATGAAGCGGCTGAAACTGGCCTCACAATCAGAACTTTATTTTTGTAATCGTAAAATAAGATTTCAGTTTTCATAGATATTTTATTTCCAATCGTTTGGTTATCAGAACTTACGTAGACTTCACAGCAGGTGGTGGTGTTGTAGGGTTCGACTGGTTTTTATTGGGCAACCATACAAAACCAGTGTTGTCCCATATCTTAAACCAGGTGTATTCAACTGGTGGCCCGGGGGCCTAATCAGTTCAGCCCACCAATGGGTTCATTTTTAAATCAAACTAGATTTTAAATTGTAAAACAACCTTACTTAAAGAGAATAACAGCTGGATGTCCAGCCCCGGAGCTCTTGGCTTTCATTAACCGTGGCCCCCTGAGCCATTGTCCTACCTGGAGCCTGATCAGGTTGGTTCTGGTGTTGGTTCTGGAGCCTGATCAGGTTGGTTCTGGAGCCTGATCAGGTTGGTTCTGGTGCCTGGCAGCTTATCAACAGACTCGAAAAGTGCCTCCAAGAAAACAACATTAGGCTGAAATTGAGCAGCTGCACGGTCATTTGGGTTTGACCGTTTGATAGCACAGCTGGACAGATGTGTCCAACCAGTCTGCCTCACACGACCTTGTTGTCCCGTCGCCGACTGGAGGGGAAACTGGAAATACGCTCTTTTTGTCCGTGCACGTGTAACCCTCAGCGTTGTTTCTCTTCACTAGTACGACCAAGTGCAGGTAAAATCAGGCCACGGGCACAGCTGCTCATCACGTTATAGATATATAGATAGATATAGATATACAATATATGTAAACTGACCACCCATTGAGGAAACTATGCTTTCTAATTTTCATATTGAATAAAAGTATAGATTGGGGTGGTCAAATATTAATCTATGAGGGGCCAAGGCCACCAAAGGCCACCCCCTGGCTCCGCCGTTGCACCTGGTTGTGGATAAAGTTCCTCTCTGCTCGCCAGGATCCGTCACTCTGTGCCACCTCGGACCTTTAAAAAACCTACCTCTGTTCTGCACATTGTAACTCCTGCACATCTGGATATTGCACCTAAAACAGTCATGTGAAAAAGTGCAAACATGCACTGTTCAAATCCTTCACTGATTGGGGTGTGGGGGGGGGGGACATCAGTACCACTTGTTTGTTCAGGAGGAACTAAGACCAGCGACGCCATCATCAGGTCAACATGAGTTCATCACACTGATCCCTGCTGGCTCTGAACGCTGCTGTGCCTTTTAATAACCTCACAGAACGATTTTTTAGTTTGTGGTTTATCTTGTGTGAGCTTTGAACTTTTTATCTAAAGTGTGAAAAGAGCAGAGCAGCTGGTGTGTAACGTGCCAACATGTTCCAAATGAAACAACTTCCAGGGATTCAGTTGTTTTTTACACATGATCAATGTATTATTAATGTATCATTATGTATTATTATTATTGTGAGTTGGTGTGGTGCAAAGTTTGAGCTGTTTGAGGAGCATCATATGTCCTGTCTGGATGTTTGTCTGCAGGATCTAACTGGTGTTTTTTCTTCTCATTCATCTGTAAAGTTTGTGAATGACAGCAGACGTGGAGCTGCAGCTCACAGAAGTGCCTCACAGATCCAGATGAATTTAAGATCATTACAAAACTAAAACAAAATCAGCACAATCTGTTTCTTTCTTTATGCAGAGTAAACTGTGCAGAGTTGAGCCCAAGAAGTTTTCCTCACCCTCACATATTTTCAGTTTTTTGTGTCAAATGTAAACAATATATTAAACATTTATTTTATTATTTGAAGGCTCGTTTGTCCCGTTTATTTTGGCGTGTGGCTCCATGAGGCGAAGATCTCAGGTGTGTCCCCTGAGCTGAGTGCACTAGGGTCAGGATGTACATTATCACCCACCACCAAATGCAGTTAGGATTCTGTCTGTGCTTTCATGAACGTGTCAGTGTTAACAAAATATCATGTACCTCTGGACAAATTTAACTAAAACTCCCTAAAGGTAATGGATGCTCATTTACAGCTGATTAATTTTTGGACTCAGTTCAAGTCAAGATGGCCGTCAAAGTCTACTAACCACACAGGTCAGTCACTTTTTCAGATTTTCGTCTGAAATTTAAAGTGGTAGTAGCTGAGGATCATCTGCATTCCATACTTAATGAGCAACAAGGGTAAGACTGCAGCTTTCACAAGATCTTAAGGATTTTAGAATAAACTGAAACACTAACTGTACATTTGTGAATAAAGAATTTCCCAAATAATATTAAATTAGTAACTAAAACTCTATATTTTAAAAATCCTACTAGAATAATTTTCCTCGTCAGTGTGGGGATCTGCAGCTCCATGTCCCTCCAGGATTAAACTGGAAAAAGATGAACCAAACTGATCTCTGTCACAGAAAATAGCTTTGAAACTCTGCCTTATAAAATAATTACATTTAATTTAGAATTTGAAGAATAGGGTAAAAAATATGTTTTGACTAAATATTTTTTTCTGTTCCAAATTATACAATGTTTGACAGGGGGACATTTAGGAGAGGTTTTGGTACAATTAATATTTTCAGTAACTTCTGAACGCAAGAGATCTTCTCAAACCTTAATTTTACAAGATACTGTGCTGCTTTTAATCTATTGTTGAATAATTGAAGACGATGGATGGATGGATGTGTGCAACTTCGGAAAAGTCTCGTTTATACACATTTTTTATAAACAAAAACGTATCTGTTGTTCCACAATGGGGTTTTCTAATTTCTAAACGATAATATATTGAGAAAAGTCCTGAAGTTTGATATTTTAAACCAAAGTCACGTGAGCAGATTGAGTAATTCTTTCTGTCTAAATGAGCACTTCCGGGGCGCCCCCTGCTGGCCAATCAGAGGCCTTACAGCGGCTTCGACACCACCCCCCAGCGGCCGCACAGGCGCACTGAGCCCTCAACTGCCATTTTGTGGAATAAGCTGCTACTCCGCTAAAGCGGGAGAGGAAATAAAAGAAACTGCGGCGAAGACCGCACTTTTTACAAGTTCAACTTTGTAGCACAGGCTCTGTGCTTCCAGCTGGGTTCACCGGGAGGAGAAACACAATAAAACAGGTAACGTATCACTACTTTTCTGACAAGGGGGGGAGTTTGCAGGATCTTTATTCGGCCTCTAGGTGTCACGATGGGGCTCAGGGTCCTGGTAGCTTCTCGGGAGAGTGTTTGTCTCCCTCTATCGTTATTGAAAAACCTGTCGAAATGCGTTTAAATGTCCGTGGGCGCAACAAATGCACTGTCGGTCTAATATAAAGTATCGAGTACCTGCGATGAAATAAAGGGGATAATTTGTCAACTTGGTTGGGGAGTTCGGACCGAGGCGTCCATTTTCCCTCGTCTTTGTCTCCCGTCTTTTACAGCCGGACCGACGTGGAGGGAGCCCGTTTAAGACACAAAGCAGCCTGCGCTAGGTCCCAAAACTAACATACAGCTAAAGACTCCAACCTACCGACAACCAGTCGTATCTGTTCAGCTGTTTTCCAGAAGCTCCAGCAGTTTTGTCGGCTGTGAGCGGTTAGCATGAAGCTAACAATGCTAACAGCCGTGTTAGTAGTTAGCGTTAGCTCAGGTGTAAGGCCCACGCCTCGCTACTGTCTCTAAATGTAAAAAAACCTTCCGAATAACACAAAAATAACCCGAGTCGAGTTTAATTTGTCTTTCATCCGAGTCGAGTTTTTGTATTGGACGCTTTTTGAATTCATCCGAGTCGTTCATCCTGATTAGCAGCAGCGTCCACATCAAGGAGCTGCAAGCTAACAGTTAGCTAGCACGGAACAAAATGGACCGAGGACGACTTCAGTGAAACGATCCTCCCACGGCTGCTCGGAGGCAATACATTCACGGTCCGTTGTTTTCTCAAGTCCTCCATCTCCCACATATCAAGCCGTCTGCCTGTCGCATAGTCTGATTGAGTGGATGTTGCTCCAGTCCCCCCACCTGAGAGCATCAGCAATATATTCTGCAGCAGAGAGCTCCCTCTACGACCCGGCTCGGAGAGCTACAGAAATACACAAATAAGTGTAGCTGTGCTGCAGTGCACGGTCACACATCACATTCACTTTATTTGTACTGCGCCAGTTCACAACAGAAGTCGTCTCAGGGCACTGAACAGAACATTCACATGAAAATCAGTTAATAACGATATTTATCTAAGGCGCCAGCAGATCGCTGCCAGTTTTCACTTCGTCCCAGTCTCTTGTCTAAGCGAGCACAGAAGCAACAGTGGAAAGGAAAAACTCCCTCGTGAGGGAGAAACCTCCAGCAGAACCAGGCTCTGGACAAGCGGACATCTGCTTCAACTGTCTGCCCAAGTATGTGAGAGCCTTAAGGTTATAGCAGCAAAGGGTAAAGGAACAGGTCAGGAAACCAAAGCGACCCTAACTATAGGATTTATCAAAAAGGAAAGTCTTCAAACTGGACAATGTGTCAGCCTCACGGACAGAAACTGGAAGTTGGTTCCACAAGAGAGGAGCCTGAGAACTGAACGATCTTCCTCCCATTCTGCTGCTGGAAACTTTAGGAACCACAAGTAAACCTGCAGTCTCAGAGTGAAGTGCTCTGTTAGTAAAATAGGGAACTATAAGATGGAGCTAGGTTGTTGAGAGCTTTGTAGGTTAGAAGTAAGATTTGACAGGGAGCCAATGGAGAGAAGCTAAAACCGGACAAGAGCTTGTTTTAGATGAAGACAAACTGTGGAGCTGGGTTACTTTTAGTGTTAATTTTGTTTTATTTAAACAGCCAACCTTTAATTTGGTAGTTGGGAGAGTGGTGGCGCAGAGGCTAGAGAACTCCCGCGGTACTGACAACATCAAAATGTGGGTGGGAAAGGTGAAACACCCACACCTGTCTCCACCCTCATTTGCCTCTCTCTTGGCCTTTGAGCAGGGCCCCCCCTCATCTGCTCCCCCGGGTGCCCTAGATAGCAGCTCCCCGCTCCACACAGAGGGCTGTGGTAGCTCGGTGGTCTGTGGTTGTGACAGGAAGAACATCCGACGTAAAAACAATTGCCAAGTCTTCGTGCGACTCAGTTTGCTGTGGCGACCCCTGATGAAGGGAGCAGCTGAAAGAAGAAGAAAGAACAAAGAAGTCTTGTGATTACTTTGATCCTTGAGATGTTAAGGCCGGATTTGACATTTATGGTGGCGACCATCTTGAATTTTGATGTGGCGACCCAATTTTCAAAAGGAGCATTTCTTAGGCATTAACTTTAACTCTTAGACATCAAAGACATTTCTGAAATGATTCACAAACATGTAACTTTTTCTTGATCTAACAAAGTTAAGTCAGGTCCTCTAGATGGCTGCAAAAAATAAAAACTTGTTGAAATGTTTTGTCTTTTATCCAAAGGACTTCTTCAGTCTGAGGAGCTGCAGCAAACTCAGTCTTATAAATAGCACCTTCTCATGGTGGATCAACCAGTTTGTTGTTGACGTCCAGAACTAGCTGTTCACATGATCCAGGAGGACCATCAGCCTAATGAATGATTGTTAGTGGCTGCTTGCTATTGTTGTGGCTAGATGGCCACTAATGGTGTTCAAACAGCTGATATAGTCCACCTTAGTTCAAAAGATTTATTGGACAACAGATTACAAGTATTCAGAGTTCATAAAATCAACAAATCTGTATGCATACAGGAGCATTTACCAAAACCGACCTGATCTGACGCTTCTCCAGCAAATGCTACCCGTATTTTTCTGGTGGCTGTGTTTTATACACTTCGGGCTCTCTGATTGGTTTAACCGAAAGGTTGCCATGGTTACTCTGCTCTGGCCGGGGACTTGGCACATTCTTTAGATAAGATAAGCCACTATTACGACCTGCGTGAAAATCGGCTCTTTGTTTTAGCCGTTTCAGTGTAACCTACTTATACCTTAGTGATACCACATGATTCTGTTCTAAAGTTAGTTTCTTTCTAGGAATAATTAATAACTATTATTATCTAACTCATGTTTGCGTGTTCTTACTTGATCCCTTTTTATGCTTCTGTTTTAGTTTGTTTTATTTGGATTTTACTTAGTCAAACTATATTAAGTCTAAATTAAAGAGATGTGTTCTAGCTTTATTTATGTTAATCAGTCTGCTATCTGGCATGATTTGATTGCTTGTAATATATCATATGTGAACTTGTAAAATGTCATTAGCTAATATAAGATTATATGTAAAGGTAAACTAGTTAGAATTAGTAAACATTTTCTATAAATATAGTTCAACCCTGGAAGAAAGACACGCACACACTTTATATAACATGACATTTGAATGCTTGATAAAAAGGTATAAAAATATGAAATCCAACACTATTCACAGGGGGTTGAGTGATACTAGCATTGTAAGAGGGGGGCTGTTGAACTCGGAGGCTCCGCCCCTGTTTAATGATGGACGGTTTCTTTTCACAAAGATGGCCTCCTTTACTCCTCTCAAATCAAGAGAACAAGGAAGGAAGTCGTTCATTTTAAAGCAACAGTACAGTAGTGATCACGTCTTATCTGGCAACCCTGCCTGTCATGGCAACTCCAGGTCATCGTGTAAATACGACAGCTCTTAGAAAGCTCTTCTACACAACAGCTCTTTTTCCTTTGAGTCTCACCAGTCATCTGCGATTTTGTCTGATTTCAATTCCTAAAACGTTCACTAAATAAAATTATTTTTGAGGAGAGACTGAATTTTGCTTCATGTTCATAATAAAATGTTAAAGACTTTATGAAAATACACAGTTTTCAGTGAGGTGTATGTAAACTCTTTCTGTTTTAACTGAATATACTCTGAGAGTGTTGATATAGTTTTTATGATAAACGTAAAGCAGTGTTCTGTTCCCTGTCTATTAGCTTTTAATGGATATTTAGTTGTGGGGGTGTGTGTGTGTGTGTGTGGGGGGGGGGTGATGTTTCTCCTGATGGATCGGTCAGAGAGCGTTTGTTTTCACTGTTTCTTTTGTTGCACAGCATGAATGGTGGCTCAGCTGATGGTGAAGGAGTGGTGGATGTCTCCACCAAAGACTTCCCATCGATTCACTCCGTCCACAGCCAGGATCCCACAGTGGCCGATCTCCTTCAGCAAGCTGCTGAGGGTGTAGTGCAGCAACAAGCTGGAATCCTACTGGAGCAAGGTTTGGTCAAACTGTGTTTTAGTAAAATGATAAAACAACCAAAAACTCTTTTAATGTTTAATCTTGTATTTCAGCTCCTGTGGAAGGATTAGTAACTGTTCCCCAGTCCCAGCAGGAACTGATGGAAGCTGGAGTTGAGATGATGGTTGTGAACTCCCTGGATTCAACCCTGATGCAGGTGAAGACTGAGGTAAGCTCCCTTAACACTTGATCAGGGGTGTTCGATACGTCAATCACGATCTATCAGTGGAGCTCCAAGGTATTCTGGGTAGATGTCATTAAAACTAGACATCAGCTAATCTTCTATCTTTGACATGTGTCTCTTGACTGACAGGCAGGGCAGCCAGTCTGAGCCTCGTTTACACGACGTGAAACGTTCATTTACAGACAACGTCCTGATCCTCTCTGAACCTGAAGGTTTCTGAGTCCAGGTCTCAGAGTGGACATGTTCAGAGGAACCCCCCACGGAGGAGTGAAGTGGCACATGCACACTCCAGGCAGCTGCAGTCCAAAGTTTCTCTACTCTAACATCAGTTATAATAAATAACAACAGTTATAATAAATAACAACAGTTATAATAAATAACAACAGTTATAATAAATATAACAAGTTATAATAAATAACAACAGTTATAATAAATAACAACAGTAATAATAAATATAACAAGTTATAATAAATAACTACAGTTATAATAAATATTACAACAGTTATAATAAATAACAGTTATAATAAATAACATCAGTTATAATAAATAACAACAGTTATAATAAATAACAACAGTAATAATAAATATAACAACAGTTATAATAAATATTACAACAGTTATAATAAATATTACAACAGTTATAATAAATAACAGTTATAATAAATAACATCAGTTATAATAAATAACAACAGTTATAATAAATAACAACAGTTATAATAAATATAACAAGTTATAATAAATAACAACAGTTATAATAAATAACAACAGTTATAAT